CCTTATTCACCTTGAATCCGACTAAGGCCCCAGGCCCAGACGGGATGACTGCTCTTTTTTTCCAACGGTTTTGGGAAGTCATAAAAGGCGATCTCACCAATATGGTGAAGAATTTCTTTAGCTCCGGAATTTTTGACGGGAAGCTGAATGAGACCAATATATGTCTTATCCCTAAAGGGGAAAGACCGCGTGTAATGTCAGGTTTTCGTCCTATTAGCTTATGTAATGTAAGCTATAAGGTTATTTCAAAAATCTTAAGCCTTCGGCTAAAGAGATTCCTTCCGGAGTTAATATCCGAGACGCAATCTGCATTCGTTGCAGGTAGATTAATTACTGATAATATCCTGATAGCGCAAGAAAACTTCCATGCTCTTCGTTCTAATCCGGCAAATCGAAAGAAATTTATGGCTCTAAAAACGGATATGAGTAAGGCCTACGATAGGGTGGAATGGGGGTTCCTCCGAGCCTTGATGGAAAAGATGGGATTCAACATTCGTTGGATAGATTGGATAATGCAATGCATTACCTCAGTGTCATACCGGATTTTGATTAATGGTGATCCAAAAGGCCGGATTAGACCAACCCGAGGGATTCGTCAAGGAGACCCAATTTCTCCGTACCTTTTTATCTTGTGTACGGAAGCACTTATCGCTCAGATCAGAAAGGCTGAAAGAGAAGGCAAAATTCAGGGGCTTCGGATTTCTCATGCGAGCCCTCGAGTCTCACATCTCCTATTTGCTGATGATAGCCTATTTTTCTGCCAGGCCAATGTGGACCAGAGTAAAGAAGTTATTGACATCATCCGCTCATATGGCGGGGCATCTGGACAAGAGGTTAATCTGAATAAATCATCCATTATGTTCGGTAACGAGGTCCCAACCCCGGTCCGGCAGGAAATCAAAACAATTCTTGGGATTTCACGTGAAGGCGGGATGGGAACTTATTTAGGCCTCCCTGAAAAAATCCATGGATCCAAAGCTCAGGTCTTTGCGTTTGTGAGAGATAGACTACAATCTAGAGTAAACTCGTGGTCGTCTAAATTCCTCTCTAAAGGCGGAAAAGAAGTCCTAATCAAATCACAGGCACAAGCTCTTCCGACATACGTTATGTCATGCTTCCTACTGCCAAAAGCAATATGCTCTAAGCTTACTAGTGCAATTGCCAATTTTTGGTGGAGTAATAAAGCAGAAAGCCGTGGAATTCACTGGATAGCTTGGGACCAACTTTGTACCCAATTATCAGACGGAGGGCTTGGATTTAGGTCCTTGGAAGATTTTAATCTCGCACTCTTGGCGAAGCAATTATGGAGATTACTACGATTTCCAGATTCTCTCCTTAGTAGGGTTCTTAAAGGACGATACTTTCGGTACTCTAGCCCGTTAGAGATCACTGTCTCCAATCGTCCGTCGTATGGTTGGAGAAGCATGCTGGCCGCCAAGGACGTTCTTAAATATGGAATCCGTAAGACCATTGGCTCGGGCTTCGGTACATGCATTTGGACAGACCCTTGGATACCAGATACTCCGGCACGCCCACCTAGGGGATTATCGATGGAGAGAGACCCCTTGGCTTACGTTAATACCTTAATTGATTTTGGGTCTAAACAGTGGAAGATGGATCGTCTCCGGGAACTTTTTCCCCCTGTTTGCGATCACCCTTCTCAGGGACCTAGTGTTACGACACTAAAGGCGCAAGCTTGGAAATTAAAAACTACGCGAAAATTAAAGCATTTTGTGTGGCAATGTGTCTCTGGTTGTTTGGCTTCGAGCCAACGGCTATTTTATCGCCATATCGGTAGAGATAAAGGATGTTCAAGATGTGGTGCAGAAGAAGAATCAATCAACCACCTGATCTTTGAATGTCCTCCTGCTAGACAAGTCTGGGCTCTCTCCAACATTCCATCTTCCCCAACGCTGTTTCCCTCGGCGTCACTCTACAATAACTTAGATTATCTGTATTGGCGGGGTAAAGAGGTGGGGGCGGATGAAGAGAGCCTAAGAGTATTCCCATGGATTATGTGGTATATTTGGAAGGCGCGCAATCGAAAGATTTTTGAGAATTTAAGCGTCCCACCTCAGGAAACGCTAGATCTTGCAACTCAGGAGGAAGGCGCGTGGAGGCGAGCAAATCAGAGAGAAGACCCCCAGGCCGGGCTGGTAACTAGTACGCATGAGCCGCCATCTCCAGAGGATTGCCCGGTTTGCTATATTGATGGATCTTGGCTCGGGACGGAGACTAGGAGTGGACACGGGTGGCTTGTTTATCAAGGAGGACGACTTCTACACTTGGGATTAAAAGGCTCGCGTAGAAGTCTTTCTCCCCTTCATGCGGAACTGGATACTCTTTTATGGACGATGAAGTGCTTATTGGCAATCCCATTGACGAGCATCCTCATTCAGACGGATTGTTCTGACCTATTGGCTATGACTGGTGCTCCTGAAGAGTGGCCTACGTTTTCTACAGAATTGAAAGACTTTGCATATTACAGGGATCGTTTTACTACTTTCAGTCTTAAGCATATCCCCCGTAGTGGTAATACCTCCGCCGATTATCTTGCGAAATGTGCAAGAAATCGCGGGTTCTGTTTTTCCCATGTAAGTTCGACGGTCCCTGATTGGCTCTCTCTAGAAGAGAGTCTTATTCCGTGAATTAATATATGGTGTCTGATTGACAAAAAAAAAATATATTGTTTTGGATTATGGATATTTGTTGAGATTTTTCGAATATCCGATCTTATCAAAACCAAACCGAAATCCAAAAAAAATTAATGTACAATCTGTTCGGTTAGTTTTAGCAACGCGAAACCAAACCAGATCAGATTTTTTGGATTTGAGTTTTGGGTTTAGGATTTTATTCCCAGGCCTATCTATGTCTCTATGATCAACAAGGATATACATTACGTCAAAAACTAAATAAATAAATAATTCTAGGTATAATCATTTATTGGATGTGGAAGCCCCCTTGGCCCATTGGTTGAACAATGGTTGATTAATGCTTCTACACCAAGAGGTCTGGGGTTCGAGTCCCAGATATTGCGATTTATTAACAAATTTACAGATTAATGGAGGCAAGTGTGCAAGAGATCTCCAGCGATGTACAATTATAGCCGTTCGCCAGGATTCTACGCAGATAAGGAAGTGTCGCCAGGTCGTGGATCATTGAAGGTATTCATCAAGATTACGAAGAAGGAAGTGTAGTCTGTCGTGGATCTAGTAAGGGTCGGAAGGAATTGTCAGTTGTAGAATCTTCTATGTAACAGTTCTCATAATTTGCAATTAATAATAAATCTAGATGACAAAAAAAAAAAAAAATCATTTATTGGATTTTGTGTATATAATGCAATCTAAATAAATAAATACCTTTTTTTGGTAAACATGTGAAGATTTGTAAACCTAATCAGAGAGAAAGAAGCGAAAAGAAAGAACGAGAGGAGGCGAGAGAGGTTTAGAAGAATATTCCTTGTGAAGCAAGCCTTTTGTTTTTGTTTTGTGAGTATCCGATATCTTCCTCTTGTTTCTCTTGGTCATATATAGGGTTTGTTTAGGGTTTCGTTAGTTTCTTCAAACATCCGTTAACAAATTAAATAAATTGATTCGGATTTTTCACTCTTTCCAGGCGCTAGAGTCATCATGGCAATGCTTAAGCGCACGATTAGCATCGTAAGAACCGGAGGAGGTCTGAGTTATCGTTCACTTTCTTCCGGGAACCATGTCGACACATTAAGAATGGTTAAGGCTCTAGAGGCTATCAACGTACCCTCGACACAAGCGGAGGCATTAACCGGCGCCTTCACCGGTGGCTTGGAGTCGGTGATGGAGAAAGTGAAAGCTGACAACGCCAAATCCGAGGCAAATCTTCTTTTCCAAACTTTCGTTAATTAGTTAGCACTACTATATATTCTCACTATTACCACAGGAACATGATGGATCGATGTAGAGATGTTTTCTTGTGTTGTGAACTTAATCATCTTGTGTTGATGACAAGTATCTCAGAAGTAGAGATGTCTTTTTCACTTAAGGAATATATGCTAGAAGATCTGTTCTTTCCAACCTAATTAGTGTTCTTCATTGTATTTTTGTGTAGGAGTATCAATCAACTCGTGTTGCAGAAGAGGTTAGAAAACTGCGAGCCGATATTGATAAGATGCGAGCGGATATTGCTACAATGCAAGCCGAGAAGAGGTATTAAACTGACTCGCTTTTTAATTTTTGTTTTGTCCCATTTAAACTAAGACCTTTCATTTGAAACAGGTGTGATCATCATATCTAATTAGTACACAAAGTTGAGCAGGTATAGCTTTTTTTTTCCCTCTATCCATTCATTTTACACATGTACTTCAGGTTAGTCGTTACATTGGAAATCAGAAGAACTAATATATGTTTTGGGTATTTCAGGGTTTTAATGAGTTGAAAGATGAGTTCGAAGAAACAAAATATGAGGTCCTGAAGTATGCTATAGGGACACTGGTCGCTGTATCAGCAGCTGAAGCTGTCATGATTTACTTGATGATATCGTAGACACGTTATCGGATCTTTGGAAGGAATCGAAAAAGTTCTGAGCGACGAAAATCCACTGACTCAAACATATCCGCAACTAGACTGACTCGTAGACTTTTTTTGGTTTTATGCTTTTGCAAAAGTAACTTTTCCTCTTCCATTATTAATAACTCGTATGCCTCCAGTGCCATCACCTTAGCCCAAAAGGAAGTCCATTTTTGAAAAATTGAACTTTTTCACTTCTACTTCCACTTATATATATAGTTTTTACTGGTAGTGACTTGTCTTGGCCTCAATACACGTCGTTCTGTACTCATCCTATAACATTACATTGATATACAAATTTCTGTCCCCAATGTTTGTTGTGTTACTGAAACTTGTCTGCAGTTCACATGCAAATCCAATACCAATCTTGTATAGAAAAGTGAAGGAGTATGCTTTTTAACCTTTAACTTTGTCAAATATATAGAAAGAGGATGATTGACCAGTGACCAATTTCAGAAGTTTACAAATAATATGATATTTTCTAAATATTCGCAGAACTAATTCAAGCTTTGTGTTGTGTTTCGCTTTTATGACATGTACAGTAGTAACAGAGTAAAAAAGAATGGCAGTTGGGTCCGTATAAAATGTAACACTATCAAGAACAATAAAACTAAAGGAATCTACAGAAGAAGAATGATTTCAAATATTTCTTCCTTATGAATCTGTCGCCATGCGTGTGCTCTCAGTTTCCTTACCGGAGAAGTTATGCCAAGGGAGGCGCATATCTGCTTGTGTGAGTCTCGGTGGTCACAAAGTTGACAAGGAGAGAGTTCAAGCTCCTCCACAGTCCAAAAGGTCTCTCCCAAAAGACAAAGAGATTGTTTAAATGGAAGTGATACGACCAGTTTGGTTTGTGCATAGACATGAGCAGTTTGGTTCGGTCAAATTTCTTAGGACGAGGCGTCTGTCGCGGTTACTCATTAGTTTGATGAGTGGTAACTTCTGCGAGACTTGACGCCAGATTTCCTTCACTGCTCCATTTGGGTTGTCATAGTCAAAATACCGTCTTACCTGTGTGCATCGCATCATTCGGGTATGAGAATCTTCCCAAGTTATGTAAGAGAAACAAATATTTGAAGAGAAAGCTGAAAAGAAGGAGACAGTACCGGTTGCATCTCTCTCTGATACTCCAGGATCTTCTTGGTTTTTATTTTCCTCAGCATCTGAACCAGAAAACCGGGCTGCAGAGCTGCATTGGCCTCAACAAAAATCGAAAACTTTCTATAATCTATAACATCTTCGAAAGGTAACTCGATGCTATCGCTAACAATCACGGGCACACACAAACTGACAATGGAGTCAAAGAGTCTGCAGGCAGATGGAGTGTCACCCGCAGGATTTAAACAAAACTTTGAAGTATGCATTCCTTTCGTAGCAGCTCGTCGGTTCTCTCTGGATTGAGTTCCATGTTTTATTGTTACATCATCTTCCTTTTCAAGAACTTGGAATAGCAAATCACGAACTTTTCCACCCTGAAGACAAACAAAGAAGCAGACAGATTGAAATCAATACTCTCTTTTTCAAGAAAGACAGAACTTTGAGCCACCAAAAATGTATATTTGCCAATAATATAGCATTAACACAAGGGATTATCTATTATCCTTCAACACATTTCTGTACATTTTTCATTAATGATAGCATTAACACTAGCTAACCAATCTCTTTTAGACACCTAAAACCTTAGAAAGCTACAGAATTGGAACATTTTGAGCTCTAATTATTCACAATTCCAAGAGCAATTTGCAAAGGTAAAAGCGACTTACATCTTTGCGATATCGATTTCCCATGAAGAAGAGTAATGTGTTGCGATCCTGCACTCCAATTTCTCCATTGAAGAGATTGACTCTATGAGAGTAAGGTATTACCACATCCTTGACGAACGATCCTTGATCATGCCTCAACCGCCCGAAATCCGCCACGAGCAGAACCGAATTCTTGACCCGGTCCAAGATCCGATACAAGGCATTCGGATCGCCGGCGGGTATCACGTGATCTCTCCCACCATTCCTCCTCCACCACTCTTGACCTTCAAGCCACTCCATCAACCCTTCCTGCATCTTCTCGTCGCTGTAACCGGATCCAGGTTCAACAGGTCGACCCGCATTCACAATTAAGCTGAGGGAAGAGAACACCGGGACGTAGAAGAGATCAGCGTCGTCAGGATCCAAGACACGGACAATCGGAGACCCGGATCGATCCACTTCGGGTCGATTAAGATCCGAGAAAAGATACCACTCGTGCATATGCTGATGACCCGGATACTTAAGCGTAGTGACGTCATCGACGGGCTTCTTGATTCCGCCGCGAGCGATTGAGTGCTGATCGATTAAACCGTAAGTGAATCTCTTGGGGAGATTATACATGTAAACCCTAACCTTAGGCTGAATCGGAGCACGTCCTTCATCATCGTCTTCACGGATTAGCTGGCGAGGGAGATCGGATGAGGAAGGGAGGGAACGACTGACGGAGGCGTTGAGAATTACATAGATGGCAATGACGGATACGACGGCGATTGCTGCTCGTTTAAGGAGGGAAGATCTACGCGCCATTGGAGGTTGAAGAAGGTTAGGGTTTTCAGGTGAGAGATTGAACAACTTAGCTCACTAATGAAGATGATGACTGTTGTTCTAATTTGGGTTCGGTACATTTGGTGCCCCAACAGATACTCTTTTTTTTCTTTTTCTTTTCCTCAACAGATATTCTAATTTTCGCATAATTGTTTTAATTTATACAGTAATTATCTTAAGAATTTGTTCAACCTTGATTATAAATGATATTGATTTACGTAAATAACAGAATTATGAAATTACCCGAGTTGTGAATTACAATCCAAGACATAACAAGTCTGTTGCGAGGGATTTGTACAAATCTAATCTCTCTACATGAATGTCTTTTTTTTTTTTGGAAAAAGAAACAAATTTGTCTCTATTGTTGAATGTGGCAGTGTTGTTGTTGTTACTTAGTTATGCTGCTTATATGAGATGGGACCAGATCTTGAGACAGCAAACCTGGGAAGAGGACTAGGACCTGTGCTGTTTGATCCTGACCCTCCTTTATGGCTCGAGCTGTAATCCAATGGTCCAGAACGACGAGAACTCCCCCTTTGTTTGTTGTTGTTGTTCTCATTGTTTCTTGAGTTTCCAGTTTCGGGTTCGTTGTAGTGTTCCTGACCGTATAGTGAAGATGATGAGCCTTTGAAGTACCCTGAATCTGGGGCAGCTGCGGAGCTACTGCCGCTACCACTACCACGCTGGGGAGTGGTGGAGTTTTTCATGGAGGGAGAAGCGTGGATGAGTGATACGGATGGAGAGTGGTACGGGGATGCTGTTGAGAGCGGTGTGGACGGTGTGTTGGAGTAGTATTGGGTGTAGATTGACCTGAGGATGGTGTACGGGACATGTGATTCAAGGGAGCTTCTTGGGAGGTATGGTGAGATCTCACAGAGTTGGTCCAGGAAGATAAGCTTAGCCACAAGATGAGATCTGAAGAACAAAAAGGATGACGTGATGATGATGCGCATAAAAATGCGGGATAGAGTAAAAAAATTTCGGGTTTCTCTTACCTGTTGGCTTCACTCCATGAATCTAGCACGATCGATGCAGCGAATTTTACAAAGAGTAACATTGCGGATTTGATGCTTGCTTCAGCAGTTACACGGGGTTGAAACTCTGAGTCTAGATTTTCACTAGAGTGATGACCATTGGAGAGGGACTGATGCTGCTGCTGGTATTCACGCTGTAACTTAACGTACTCACTTCCTGCAATGACAGCGCTAATACACCGAGCCAAGCAATGGATGTTATTGCTGAATCCGCCAGTCTCGATGTTGAAGCCAGTAGTGTTCCACGCGTTTGAGGTCATGAAAGAGGCAAAAAAGTAAGGTAGCAAACTCCATGAGATGTCATTTGCACCTCCTACTTCTTCGAGGATTAATCTAACCCATTCAGAGTCGTGATCTCCTGCTACGCCAACGCCATTTGCCACGCCTTTGATCCTTCTGATTTCTTTCTTTTCAGGTATTTCTTCAGGTATGTGCTCAACGATGCCAGATATCATCGAGTGTATCAAGGATGCATTGTCTTCAAGAACAGCACCAGAGGCTTCGGCGAGGAGCTCATCAAAAGCCAACGCTTGACCAGCTTCAATACAAAATCCTATTACGGTATCCAAATCCACTATCTGCCTAATAGATGCGTCTCTCTCTACTCTGTCACCAGAATGCATACTTGCAGCAGCTGCCTCAATCAATTCCCGGTTTGATCTCAGAGATGTTTCTATGCAGTTTACCAGGGCAGCTGTATGTACTTTCATCATCCTATCCAGCCGGTCTACTCCATAGCCGCCGAAGATACGAACAAACGCCTGTAATTCCTTGAGGTCGGTGACTGACTCTGCAAAATACCCTCCAACTGGTCTAGTGCTTTTGAAGTATTTGTGCCTCGGAGCAAAGAGGATTCCTGCGCCAGACACATCCTTGATGATATTGTCCATGTACCAGTTGCACACAACTTCAACTGCAGATCCAGTGTTTAGCTGTTGTTCACCAGGCTTTTCGAATGTATGCAAAGACGACACAGGCCCTGAAAAGGCTTCTGTGAGTAAAATTTCTCTGATGCCTTGGGTTAGGTCCATGCTAACGTGCTGCTCTGCCAAGTGAACTATGCTCATATGCCGCCGGATAAGAGATTCCAAGACAGAAGGCCGCTGAAGATCATTATCGGTTTGTAGTGCAGTAAGAAATCTTCTTTTGAAGTTCCCAAGGATGCATTCTCTCATATACTGCAAGTATCCAATCGGCGGGATAAAGTCAAAAATGTTAAAAGCTTAACAAGACCAGACAATGAGAGAAATTCATGGGCTCTTTCCATAAGATATTTTTTTATTCATAGAACACTGAAGAAACATGCAACCTTTCCAAATAGGATTCGAGCAGATATTCTAAAAGAATTCAGTCATCTATATGTGTTTCTACCGAAAGAAAATTCTTTATTTGAAATCTAGTAGACTCACCTCTCTTAGCACAAATACGTGGTTTATAACACAGATAGGCTCCATGTCGTTCAGAATTGAACACAAATTAGTCAACCTTTGGATTGCAGCTTCCAACCTGCCATCACGGGGAGATACTTTAGATAAACAGTATCTAAGGAGCACTGATTTCATGACTACAAGAAAAAAAACGTGAGGCCAGACTTGGGCGCTCACATCTTAATAGACTTATTATTCTCAGGATAGCTCTCATGGCCCGGCAAAGTAAACCCGCCTACAACCCTGGGGGATTTCATTGAAGAGGCAGAAATTCTTGATGCATTATTCAGATACGCTGCAGCTTGTTCGGGAAGAAGCTGTGAAAGGTCAACACATCAGTTTGAGGACAGTAATCAAGTAGAAGATTGCTTTTGTTATAATTGATTTTGGGTAGGATATCTGACCTGAGATTCTAGAGCGCCAAACCCGCCTTCTGAATCAAGAATATTTATCAGGCCCTCCAGTCCCCCCATTATTGATTCAATAAGAGACTCGACGTAAAGCACTGCATCTCGCCCGAATTTGGTAACCTGTATAGAAAGACAAGAACAGGAGCTTTCCGGTTAATAGATGGTTTCACTGATATAGAAAGGTGAGACATGACGGGATAGACAATGAAAATTTGTGATTCACCAAAAAGAGAAACATTATATTGCTTTGTTTAAATAAATAAAAAGATTACATACTAAAGATTTGAAATCCAAAAGTAGCTTATGGAATCAATAACTTTATTTGACATAGCACATATGCAAACCTGATACCAGAGTCAATTCAATTTTACAACCACTTTCATTGTTTATTGTCATATTGAGAGTAATATGGTGCTCGTTGGGTGGTCTTAACACTACAAGAATCTCATGATCCAGACATGTACTACGGAAAGAGTGCAAAAAGCACTGAGATTAAATTATGGATTTACCTCCTCAGGAAGTATTAGTGAAGCACATTCCGGGAAACTACTAGCCACACTGAGCCATGCACAACAATGCTGAGGACGTCCTTCTGGTCCAAACATTGTATTTCTGAAAACCTTTACAAGTCAAATGTCAGATTATGCATAAGATGACATGGGAAAATAGTGTACAGTGAACAACAACAGGAAGTATACAGTTGTGAGGTGTTGATGATAGAAATATAATTTCTTCAGACTTCCATGCTTTGATAATTGAGACTCTAACTCATCAACACATCTGCATTAATGAAATTCTGCAGGATATTAATTTCGCTGTTTCTCTAGCTAGAAGTTAACCATGTAATGGTAATATAACGCCCGGAACAGTACCTGGACCAGTTATATGCAGCATTTCCTTCCGATAGCAAGCCCTCCTTCCCAGTAGAGACAGTGGCTTTTTCCAGATGCCTGATGTTTATCGATGATCGAGAAGAAGTGACAATCATTAAAATGGACAACCAATCTTTCCGGAAATCCTGTACAACAAGAGGCACTGAGCATTAGAAAATAGATTGGAAGACATAACAATTTAAATGTGTTGGAACCAGGCTACAACTAGGATTTGAAGACAGGCCAAATGGGAAACATATGAAAACATGAGTGAATTTATTATCTAGGGTGTATTGATTATATCTGTGAAAGAAAAATGTAAGTGCATCATCTGACTTAAAAACAGATGGATATAGTCATCTTACAGATAGGTCACATGTGATTGCAGAAACATTTTCTCCCTGCGCTTTGGGTATATTTTCGAGATGTTGCACAATACGCTGAAAAAGGCCTTTCAAGGTAGGATCAAGGTCCAGAGCCACAATTCCAGGAGTACCCATCAAGTAACGAATCCTTCCAGCAGATGAAGAAAGGTATGATAGTGCATAACCTCGAGCAGCTGCATTTCAAATAACAAACACCATTAAGGTTACCAAATTTTGAGCATCGGTTCTGATCAGTGGGCTCTTATCATGGTCTCAGTGAGCTGCAACAGGTCCTGTACTTAGAACCAATGTTCGAGGATGTGATATCTCAAAGTGACAAACCTGAGATATACTTGCGCACTAAACAGCAGAGACGGTCCATTCCATCGAGCAGGAAGCCAATGGTAGGATCATTTGGATCCTAAGAAATAAGGAATGATATATCAGCAATAATAACCAAGTCAAAGTAACAATTTTGAGAGGCTTTCAAAGTTCAAGCAATCAACTTACTATGTCAACTGGTATCACTCGAGCAGCTTTGGATCTTGAGGATGCAATACCAGCATGTTGAAAATACCAGAGAACCTCAGACTGGGCCAAAGCCAATGCAGAGAATACCATCTAAGAAAAGAAAAATAAATCAATCATTGGGAAAGTTTAGGGAAGGGAAGAACTCTTATGAGTATAATACTGATAGGAGGCTCCAATCTATGCAGAGCATCAATGATACATATCGTTTGTAAAACTTTTCTTTTGACACTTTTGGTAAAACTTTTTTTTTCTCAAACAAATCAATAGCTTGTGTCCTTTTCTCTTGTTCTATACTCAATGACTTCTCTTGGAAAATAGAAAAGCAATTTCGCAAAACTCTTCATTGGACACTTTTCGTAAGTGTAAGTCATTCTTCCTATGAAAGCTGAAATAAACCACTAGCACTGGCCCACTATCGTATATTAAATTTACAGTCCCCTGTACTAAATGCAAGCATGCTATTGCAAGCTTTTGAAACAATCACTGACAGACGCTATACCTGAATGTTTGGAGCCAGCAAACTTGGTTGATCAGTGAAAAATAAAACCATCCGCCCTATTTCCTGCTTCAGCAATATTCTCCTTTCTCGGTGTATGGTATCACATAATTGCAATGCTTGCTCATGCACCTCACTGAAAGCAGTGACCAAACAAAAGTAAATCTATAAATTCAAGAGCTATAATCTCTGCAAAATCACAAAAATTCTCCAGTATCATATGAGGACAACAAAGTACACAACTAATATAATTTGGAGTTACCTGATCATCTTCTCAACTTGTTTTGCTACACTATATTCTAGATCAGCTTCCTTTTGTTTAGTCCGACCAGACTTTGCCATCTTCTTTGATTCTAACACACGGGGTAAAACATACAACTGGTAGTCTTCGTGCAACAGAATGTACTGCATGGCCAAGTTAATAGAGTCAGCTGATGCAAAACAAATTCCAATACAAAACTCTTTGTCGTTGACAATTTGATATGAACTCACCTCATCCCGGAATAACGTCACGACTAAGTTTTCCTTTAGCACAACCTGAAACGCAACAGGACAGTAAAACATCTATTAGAGACAGCACAAATTACACGCAATCTTGATTTGTTTTGTACATTAAAAACCTAACTCCATTACTAATATTAATTTAAATAAACAGTGCAAATGAAAGGACATAACATTTTACAAACAAAGGCAGAGAGAGGCAGAAAATTTCTGATCTGTAAAACAAATTTCTATTACTATTATTGACCAGGTAAGATAGTTTTCACTTTTCTAGATAAAATTCTTGGGAGGAAATACTTCTTTATCAAGATCACAATCAAGAACAGAAGGAAAACAGATTCATACCAGGGCGATATCAATGCTAGTAACACGCAGAAGCTCGTCCGGGCAAACGAGATATCCAAGAAGCACCCATTCTCGGTACGAAGTAACATTCGCAAGATCTTGCGCTCTCTGTACGAAGCAAGAGTGTAATATCTAATATTAGCACTATACATCAAAAAAAGAATTCTAAGGGAAATACTACAGCATCCTACTAATTCCAAGAATCTTAAGTTTTCATGTTGATAATTATCTAGCCGTTCATACCATGGGATGAGCAGAATTTGTAAGTATATCTGGGAATCTAGGATGATATGGGCTTAAAAATCCCTCATTTCTCAACTTCCTCGTATCTGCAGATAGAAAAATACTGGGTCCTACAGCCTCCAGGACCTAGGAAAATGGTAACATTGTTAGTACTGCTGTATCAATTGCAGTATTATCTCGTAGTATACACATGATTTGAATGTAATATTAACCTCTCCAATCCTTGGGCTGACAAAATTCAAATCTTCTTGCAAGCCTTTTAATGGGGGATCATAAGAGTCTATGAATTGCACCAAGCTGGATGCAAGACAAAGAGTATTAATTTATGATAATTGGCCTCTTGATTATAGACAAATTAAAAATGACACTAAAAGGAAAAAAAAGATTCCATACCGGTGATAAAAGTCACAGTCTCGATCATTTCTTGATAGCGCATGCAGAAGGTTGTACACTTGCAGCAACATTTTCCTAGGAATCTACTTTGATAGAATAAACACTCTTACACATTGATAATCAAATAAGTGTATGCGTCATCTGACATGTGTAATCAATCCAAATAAACTGAGAACTAAGAAAAGGAATTAGCTCAGTATACCTTCTCTGCGAAAAGATTGACTCGGACAAATGCACAAAAGAGATCCATGAATGCATGCAGAATAAGTGAGTTCTGATGAGGCTGCAAAAAACTGAACTATGTTATGAGCTATTCATGAATACGCAACAATTTTATCATCATCCCCTCAGACAAATTTTTGACAAGTAAAAAATAACTTAATTTACCAAAAAAAATTTCATGACCTCCACCAAAGGTACGAGTTCAAAAGAAAGCTCAAAGTTTCAAGCAAGAGCAAGTAACTACTTTCCGCAGATGAGGGACTTTGACTCACCAGCAAGGTAATTACAGTGCTGCTTAGGTCCAATATAAGCCGCAGTGCCTGTTCTCGAAATGCCATCAAGTCGAGCAGCAGCTGATTCAAGAAAAGAGAAATGCATGCTGAGAGGAATATGAAGGCACCCCATATTGAAATTCTACACACGAACTAAGAAAAGAAGGCAGGCAAATAACTACTCGTTAACATTCTAAAAGTGAAAACCATGTATTAGGTAAGTCATATATGCGTGCTTACATATATAAGGCTGACTCACGGTGAGACGGAATATAATGAACAAAGAAAACTTATAGAAGATTGACTATATAGCATGTAGGACTTCCGCGATGCTTCACTATACTCGAGCAACAAGTTTCAGAACAACAGAAGATAAACCCAACAACATATTACATAGATAGTTTCTTGTTACCTGTATCCATGGCTCTAAGCTCTGTAAGTGAAGTTCAGCACCATCGTGCAAGCTATCCAGTGAAAACTTGTCAATCTACATAAGTATTGCAAAAATTAATATTCTTTTTCATATATCTTAAAGCACACACTAAGCCTAATAGAAAAAGAAGTCATGACTTACACGTTCAAGTTGCAATTTGCTGAAATGCTCAGGGAACTTTTTAGAGAGCAAAGTGCATATCCGTGGATGGTTAGGGAAGACACCCGCTTTCCAAAATGCTTCAGAGAAAACATGGCCAACAGGATCAGGGTACTCCAAGATTTGATTCAGTCTATACATTTTAGCCATGAGACCCTCTGCAACCTCAATCATTTGAACTACCCATTGTATGTTCAAAGCCTTTGTGGAACCACCAGAACTCTGAAGATTTCCATCAATTTGCTTTGAGCTCCTAGAAGAAACAGATGCAGCCATTTCAGGTCCCAAGTACTCAGTCCATCTGGAAGGACCTTCCCATTCCCTCGATCTCACAGAAGTCGGGGACATTGATTCATCTTGAGATGGATAATATTGACGGGATTTCGCCATTGATGATCTATCCAGTAAAAGAATCTCTGCAATAAGAAAAAATCTATTTCAGAAACACATTAAGCAATCTCTTCTAACATAATTCACTTAGCTCTGCTCTTGCATTTCTCTTCTAAAACCCAGTAATTTTCAACAACACACGCGAAAATGCAGGAAAATCAAAGTAGCGATGAGTGAGGATTGATTTCTAGCTCGCCAATTTCTCAGCAACCAAACAAGGAGCTATATATCAAAAATCCAGGTCAAGCAAGAGTCTCGTGAAAATTGAAGTTACCTGAGGAAGCTCCAAACACGAAAGTCAATTAGAGTAAAAATGGCTCAGTAAGATCGGAGCTTCGTCTGAGAGTTCAGATCTGAATTTCTGCAATCTACTACGGAGACGATGACGAAGAAGAGGAAGAGGAAGAGGAGAGAGAGAGAGAGAGAGCGTCGGGCTCAATCGGAGTGTGAGCCGAGAAATAACGAGTTGCTAAATTCGGGTCTCATTTAAGACAAAATTAGTCAGCAGAATTTCTTTCATTTTCCAAATAAATTAAAGTTTTTTTTCACATATCTTTTTTTTTTTTTTTGCTCTTTTTACATTTTACCTTTAAATCTGAACATTTTCCATAGAAAAAGATGTACTGAAAAACAATCTTTCTTTTTTCGTTTTTTTTTTTTTTGGTGCAAAACTGAGAAATAATCTTAAAGAGCAAGTGAACAGCATTTCCATTTTATAAACTTTAGATTGTTTATAAATTTATAATAAAATATGAGATTTTTAGTTCACTAGCTAGTAATATGCAATGTCTATTTGGATTTGAACATTGCAAGAAAACATTTGTTCGCTAAAAAAATAAAATAAAATAACTTAAAGTAATATATATCAAATTATGTGTTGTTTAAATTCAGTGGATGATTGTAGTTAGAAATTTTGGCTTACGAGTTTTTTTTTAGCAAAACCACATCTTACATATAGTTTACATAATACATTAATATATTAAAAGGTAAATTCAAATATACGAAATCTATTTTAAATAATTAGAGTATCTACTTAAATAGAAAACAGTATTTGGTGAATTATGTAGTACTACTATTTTTAGTGTTTTAAAAGGAAATTCTGTTAGAAAAAAGGAACAAGCGCTCTAGTTGGGTGGTTGAGATATAAGTTTTCGAAGCTTTGACAAAATGAGGACAAGTCCTTTAACCGGTAATTTTACTATTTGAAAACAATTACTCCTTCTGTTCCTCAAAGTTTAGTGTTTTAGGTTTGTTCTACAAAAATTGATTTTTTAGCTTTTTTTATATTTTTACTAATTGATATTAACAAATTGTAGATTTCAAGACGTAATGATTACAAATAATTAACTGTTTTGGATTACTATTAGTTCATAGATTATTAAAAAAATTAATAAAAAGAAAAAATTATCAAATGATTAAATCATGATTGTTTCTTAGGGCTTGATTGGTTCTCCCGCTAGCACCCTCCTAGCGGTTGCTAGCGGTCGGTTGCGGTTGTTAGCAGTTGGTACAAATCACAGAAACCGCTTCGAACCGCTCAAAATCGCTGAATTTCAAAAGCTCCTTCCCGCAAGCGTTTGCGGTTGCGGGCGGTAGCGGTTGGATTAAAAAAAAATCAAACATTTACTTATAATTATTATAATATATATTAATCCTATATATATCTTTCATCTTTGTATCACTTTGTATCACGTTCTCATCAGAAACCCTAATAATATTCTGAAACTCTATTCTCTCAATGTCTTCCATCCAAACTGATGATGAAAATTAATAACCAAATGTAAGTATCATATATCATTTTATTCATTCATCACCTCATGTGTAACTTTTTGAATATTTTTCATGGCATCGTTTTTTTTATTTTCATTACGTATTGCTTTGCTTTTTGATTGAATATATGTTTCAATTTGTTTTCTCGAATAGAAACTCACTTGCTTTTTGATTGAATTCAACGTTATTTACAGTTTGTCCCATTACTTGATGCAATTTTTGATGTTAAACCAGATGCATAAAGTACTATCTTGTTACAAAATTTCTTTATTTTTGAATAATTATTTAGTACTTTATTTATGGTTTTAATTATTAAGCATGTTCAATTTTTCTAATATTCTCATCATAATATATTGGTGTTTTTATTTCTTTTTTTTTGAAATATCTTTTATTTATTTTGGTCATTTTTTATTTAACTGCTATCGCATCCGCTGGTTTACCAGTCATAAAACTCCCGCAAATGCACCAATTTTCAAACGCTAAACCAGTCGTTCAAAACGCTTGATAACGCTTAAAGCTGCAACCGCCCACTTCCGCAAACTCCCGCAACCGCAACCGCAACCGCTGCGTTTAAACCAGTCAGGCCCTTAATATATGTGTAAATTCTAAAACATCAAACTTTCAGGAACAGAGGGAAGAGGGAGTAACAAAGAGATCAATATTGATGGCAACAAATACTGACTTGTATCTAATTATCATTACCTCTACATATGGACTAGCTTTTAGGTGTAATAATTGTCAATTATTTTAGAATTACTGTTTTAAACTGTATGATTTAACTAAATAATGTTTCTGACGTTTCTGATGATGTCACCGTGGCCGGTCCGGTTCAGTGCTACCGAAGCATTCCATCTTTTCAACATAATTATTTGATTTGAGAAATTCATTATTCGGTTTTTTTTTTTTATGCAAATTAGTGGAAAACATGACACAAGAAAAACTGCATAAAGAAAGTAATATAAGAATACTTTAGAAAATCAATACTACATAAAAAAATATCTGCCTAATTATAATAAGTAGGGTTGACAACGCATGAATATTGTATTACAAGGCACATCTTTGTAACTTTGTTGGACAATTGTGGCTAAACAAGCTTGGCCTTCACAATAAGCAACAATGATTCCAAAATCTTTTCCACACTGTGCAAATATCATTGCATTCGCAGATTTTGTTTCCTTTCACATTATCTTTTGAGGTCTTTATGAACCAGAAAATAACAAAAACAGGTTTCACACGGTTGCTACAATATCTGCCCCTATATTCTTTGTTCGCATGAATCTTCCATTAGATTCTTGTTGGTACTTGGATTCTTGGATCCCAATTTCTTCATCTCAGCAATAGTTTCCTGAACTCCAAACTAGTTCAATGGTCTACAAGTATAGTTGCTGCCGTGTCTAGACCTACGGAGGTAAGGCCCATTTGAAGAGAAGCATTTTTCTTGTCAACATGTTATCTTGTATATTAGGTACGTCAAGAGGGATTGGATTTGGTTATACCAATCCGGAGTAAAAATTTCTACAAATAGATGGATGTTACCAACATAAGTAGTGTTTGAATTTGGTCTCTCCAAAGGAGTTGGAGCTTGCTATGCACTAGTTCGACCCACTAGAAAGAGGACTAATTTACATGGTATGGTCTACGGTCCACGAAGATGTACGGACTTCGGCCCAAAACTTCGCAGTTAAGAAAAATCAAAAGGCATAAATCCATGAAAGATCCAATCAATGTTATCCCAAAGCTTATTATTTTCTACCATTATTCAAACAATTTAATTTAAAAAAAAAAAAAAAAAAACATAAAAAGAAAGAAGGAGAACGAGAGATAGGAATTTTCGGTCCAATGGACAGATGGAGAATCTCGTTTTGATTCTCGACTGAGAAAACAACAATCTGTGTTGCAGTATAAACGTCGAGAAGGGTCTGGAAAATATATAAAAAACATTAAAAAGCTCAGTGCTTGGCGTCTTCTTCTTCGCAGAACTTAGAGTACTTGTCTGAATCCATCAGCTTCTCTGCCTCGCCTGCATCACTCAGCTCAACTTTTATGATCCATCCTTGTTCATACGGGCTAGAGTTCACCTGTGGATTCCCAGAAAAAAAAGTTCTCAGCTCGAGACCACGAAATCAAGAAACTCCAAGTTAACAATATCATATAAGCAAGCTATCGATGAATCAAATCAATATTGTTTACCCGTGAATCAAGATTCTCAGCGATTAAGACTTTCACATAAGCTAAAAGCCTAAAACTTCCCAAGACTCAGAATGAGGAAGCAAGGAATGCCACCCATGAAAAGAATTTGATCTATACCCACAAATAAAGAAGACACTTACAATAAAAGCTGTCGAATAATCAAATGATTAAGCAACGGTTGTTATCCGAGGAATGAATTTGTTAAGCCATTGCATCAAATAAAAAATGACACCCGCAAAACTAAGATTTCAGATTTGATCATGCCAATGGAGTTATTTTGATTGCGGTCCAATAGAAATTTCTTGGTTTAACACATGGAGTCAATGGAAATATGATTTTTAGATGAGGACTCACCAATCCAGGGGACTCGGTCAGCTCCTCATTGACTTCAACCACCGTACCTGAGACTGGAGAATTGATATCGCTCGTCGCTTTCACACTTTCGACCGCTCCAAAACTCTTCCCTTGTGACACTGAATGTCCCACATCAGGTAACTCCACATAGACCACATCTCCTAAATGGTCCTGTGCGTGATCAGTTATACCAAAGGTTGCTTTATTCCCGTCAATCTTCACCCATTCATGTGAATCAGCATATTTCAAATCCTTCAAAACCACTATAACACACATGCCAACAACAACAACAACAACAAAAAATAGAATAATCAATAAGGTTACATGGCAAGATAATCAACATTCCAAAAACAAAGTTCTTGAAGATCTTCTTTTCTCTGTAAACAACATGTTTCAGGCCGACAGTAAAACCATTCATTTATCAGGCAGATTTTCAAAATCTTACCCAAAACTACTTCAAGTATAAAACTTGAGAGAAAATGCAAATAACATCAACATATCAGTTTGTGAACACTTCTAAGTAGATTATCATTATTAACAGAGACTCGAGAAATCAAATGCAATTTCTGAGATTTGATACGAAAAGGAGAAATAGACGAAATTAGCGATATTCTAAAACAATCAATCCAACAAAAAAGCAAACGCTTTAATCCGATCAGATGTCAAGAACAAACCAAAAACCAATAAGTTCAAAAAGAAGAATCTCAGATCAAAAACACAGAACAATCAGAGAATAGATCAAAGAAAGAGAGAGGAGATTGAGATTTACCGGAAGAAAACCCTCGTTGAGCAACGGAGATCCTTAGATGAGAAGCAACCCTAGAAGCCCACAAGAGTCTACAAGCCATTTTTTCGTTGGAGATCTCGCACGTCGCACAGATACACAACAACAGTGATAGAGAAAGAGAGTGCACTCACCGAACGGCTTATTATTATATTCTTACGACAAAAGGGTTTGGTGAATTTGCTTTCTTTTGCTTATAAAAAATATCACTTTCTCAAATCATTTGCTCGTAGACCAATTTCGCATCACCTACCCCACTAAAGCAACATTGTGGCCTTGTGGGTAATGACATAAGACCATATATTATAACACTGTTCAATACATATAAGGAATCTGATCATAAAAATCCAAACTTTATTAAGAAGGCAGATCTCTTTTTCAGTTTACAGTTAAAGATTTAGCCATTAGGTTTGGGACAAGAGAACTCACAGACACACCCTTATGCATTGTTCTAAGCACTGAAGTAACTTGTTCCACTTGATCTTCACTAGAACAAGCAGAAAGAAGAACCTTAGCTGTTCCTCCATCTGGTGCACAACCTGAATCAATCATCTCTTCAAAAATCTCTAGACATTTCACATACAGTTTCTTCCTTGAGTAAGCACCGATCCTTGAGGTCCATGTCACAACGTCTGGTTTGAAATTCCTCTCCTTGAGCTCGACGAAAAGCTCTTCAATTCTCTCCAAGAACCCAGCTTTACCGTAGATATTGATCAAAATGTTGTATGTGCTTATATCCGCGGTGCAAGGACCGTTCTCCATCTCAGCTAGAATCTTTTCCATCTTGGTGAACTGCCCTAACCGGCCGTATAAGTTGAGCATGCTGTTTAGGACAAATGTGTCTGGTTCTACTCCGTTTTCGCTCATTTCTTTCACAATGGCTTCACATTTTGTTACGTCTCTGGCTCTAGAGTAAGCTGATAGAAGCAGCATGTGAGATTTCATTGTCGGTGCTATGCCTAGCCTCTTCATTTCTTCAAACACAGCTTCTGCATCTGGTTCTCACATATATCAAAAGAGAGAATGTATGTAGCCAATGTTATACAACAGAAAATTCAGACAACTTAAACTTAGAAAGTGAGGTTTTTACTCAGTTCTGGTTACGGTTTGTTTGGATCCGGATAAAATGAAACAGTTCAGCTAATCCAGACTGGACATCCCTGGCTAGATAAGCTTTTTTGTTACCTGAGTGAAGACCTGCTCTGCCATATGCATCGACCATGATATTATAGGAAGCTCTGTCTGGTTCACATCCCATATGTTGCATTAGAGAGAAAATCTCAGCAGCACCATATGGATAACCTGCACGACTGTCTCCGTATTTTGAGGACGTTACATTTCAGCTTTATGGATTTCTTGGCATCATTCCTCTATGGGAGGGTTAGGGTAATCACCTATATGCCTCCATGAGAGCGTTATAGACATAGACATCAGGTTCAAGCCCATCTTCTTGAAGCTGTTCAAATATTTCTTCGGCTTTCTCGCAAAGACCTTCTCTAGCAAATGCATTCACGAGCGCTGTGTATGTGCAGATGTTCGGTTTACATTGATGACTTCTCATTTCACAAAACAATTTCCAGGACATGTATGATTTACTTGCCTGTAAGAAAAACCAATGACATGAACATCAAATCTCTCAAAAGTCAAACCTCAATATATTCATATCAATCGAACTTGGACTAAACCTTTCCGTATAAATTTATCATCAAGTTGTAAGTTTCAGTGGTTGGTTTACATCGATCACGCTTCATCCTCTGGAAAACATCGATTGCTTGTTCGGTGTTTCCTTTCCTCTTCATTAACCCCTCAATATAGGCATTGTATACAGTAACACCTATGCAAAAGCAATGTTAATTAGATCGAAAACTAGAATATCTTTATCTGGAGTCTCTCAAACAAAGAAAATGTTAATTACAAGAATGACTGAAAACTATGAGCCAATGTTTGGTACCAATGCATATAAAAGCTTAGGAGATACAAAGACATACTTGGAGAAACATGATGATTTTGCATCTCGATTAAAACAGCTTCAGCTTTCTCTATGAGCCCGGCCATACAGTATGCCTTTATAAGAAGAGTGTATGTGTCTTCCGTAGGCACGCAGCGGGATTCAAGAAGTTGTACATAGAGTGATTCCGCCTCCTTGAACCGGAACTTCTGTCCATAAGCATCTATAAGCAAATTGAAGCAGATAACATCAGGCTGAAAGGAGCTCCTCCTTAAAATCCACTCACACACCTAAGAAAAGATTGTAGCTTCAGAAAGTTAAGAACTTAAGGAAACATAGCACTGTAACAATGATAAGTCCTTGTGCTAGTCTAGTCTAGCTCTGACAGCGCAGTAATAATAGTTGACAAAAATGAAACTGTTGCAAGATAGCTAACCAGGATAATGGAATCCCATTTCTTATTCAAACGAAGTTGCACAGAAACATTGATTAGATCATCCCATGAGGCATGTGTAGAAGGAAGAGCTCCAAGGACATCAGCTACTTTGTCAGGATCAGTTTCTTTCTGAATAAAGCTCAGAATCTTCTGAGCAATGGGACTCAGAACAGGAAAAATCCCATCAACAAACCCGGATCCATATTTCCATCCTCGCCCTCTCAAAGAGCCACCTATATGAAAAAACAAAACATCCATAACTCCAAATCTTACAGAGATTTCATAAGAAAGTTTATTGATTTGAGTCTTACATCGTTTCCTGGAGAGTTTCTTGCTACTAAATCTTTTTAATTTCCCACGTTCATCTATGACAAACCCCTCTTGCTTATAGCTTTTAAAAGTACCACCATTGAGATTAGCGAGTCCAAAACCCAAATATCTCTGGAAGCCACTGGAATCAATGAATAAGCAATTCAAAGCGTTTCTAGCTATCAACCTGTCAATCAAAAACCCAATTTCATGGAATTGTTACTCGGAACACTAAGTACCAAGCAAGCAATTCTCAAAATGGTTCACCAGAAACCATAACAAAAGTCAAGCAGGAAATGAACTAAAAATGACACAGATAATAAATCAAATACAAAAAGGCAACGGTTGATGTCCAAAGTTTTAGACTTTACGAACATCCGCTTACTAACAAAACCTCGAGCACAAGCAAAATCCACAGAGTTGAAGAAATTATGCAGATGGGTAGTCTGAATTACTCATTTTCTAAAACCGCTTAAAAGGACATATGGTTCTTACATGACCGGAGAGATTTCCTTGTTGAGGAGATAAATGGAGAGGATGGATAGATAACACAAGGAGAGTATCCGCTAAGCTCAATGCCTCTGGCTTCATTTGTCCTCTTGCCTTTTTTGGTTACTTGGAAAATAAAAATTACATTTTTTTATTTTTCTGTAGTTTCAAAACAATTATTGAGATTTGTAAATGATGAGCCAATAAATTAGAGGGTCAATTGTGTCGAACAATAGAATCCTGTTTTCTAAATAGTTTTGATCAATCAAATGTTACTTATCCCCACTAGATTGTTATGCAATAACCATATGACTTCTCAAAAGACTTTGTTCAAGAACATGTCAAGCAAAAACCTTAAAGTGTCTAATTGTGTAGTGGTAGTGCCGTTTTTAGCAAAACTTGTGAAGATTTGTAAGTCTGTTTCAATGGAATTATTTGCTATTTTTGTTTGCACTCAAAAAGTCAAAATTCTTCCATTAGAATTTGGAAAATTTCCATAAAAACCATTAACTATCTACTTTTACTTCTAAAATACACAAAATTTTGGAGTTTCCACATTGACTCCCAAGAAAATCTTTTTACTCATTTTTAATTATCAAAATTTGAACCATATACTATATATTTTTTTTTACAACCTATACGAAACGGACGTTAAATATTAACGGTGATTTAAAATTAACCATGGTTACCTATACGAAACGGACGTTAAATATTAACGGTGATTTAAAATTAACCATGGTTAAAAGTTAACCACCCCTTCAAAAACAATGAAAACCCTTTTATTGAAAAAATCCTCAATATTATCACAAACCCCAAATCGGTTATGAGCGAAGCCGACTTTTATTGAAAAAATCCTCAATATTATCACAAACCCCAAATCGGTTATGAGCGAAGCCGACATCGTATAAGAGAATCAGAAGCTTAAGGGGGTGTTATTCAATGGTGGAGTTAAAGTCAATTAGTTGAATAACACTGGATTAGTGTTGGATTTCAATTCTATTAAAATGCATCATTGAATAACACCACCTAAATTTCATCGTTTTCAATAGAAATCTGACTTGATTTCAGCGAAACCAAACAAGATAAGGTACGATTTGTTGCCATCTATTATCGATTATGAATAAAAGATGCAAATGGTTTAATGTGCTCTCGATTGTGCATATTGTTGAGTTTCTCTATTGGATTGTGTTGTCCTAGAGTTTTCTTTTGACTATCCTTATCCAATTTTGATTAGAAAAAATTCATTTATTTATTTGTTTTACCTCCGGCGGTGAACCCTAAACAGCAGATCGATTTAGAACATATATTTTGATCAATCAAAGAAAACATCGAAACAGATTGACAAAACCATAATTGAAACTAATGTCACACACTACAGATTACTAGTTAGATGTTTTTTGTCAACAGTACGTGACTGTTTTTTTCTTCTTTCTTTCTTCAGTAAAAACTTGGGTTATTTATGTAATTTGACGAAAAAGTAAAAAAAAAAAAAAAAAAAAAAGTTGTGTGTTTGGGGACCTACCAACAAGAATTGTAGATTTTAGTATTCGGAAAATCAGGAATATTTATATAAAGCGAACCCATACGAAAACAGAAATAAGTAACCCTCGACTCGATCTCTGCGTTTAATATCTCTCGCTATCTTCCGATCTTCGCCCCCATCGCCGTTTCGTTTTCCGGTAATACTCCAAAAAAAAAAAAAAAAGAATAAATAAAACCCTAATCGCAATTCTCTCATCCTAGTTTCCGATCGCTAGTGCTTCTTTCTCTTCTCCTTGGTGAAATTCAATACGTTTCTTACTATTTTTTCTCGTTTATGTTTTGGGTTTTGGTAGTAAGTCGAATTTAAAACCAGGAAACTCCAAGCCGTGTCTTTTCTCCAGGTCTGATTGGTTCTTTCTGCATTGCTTTTTTTTTTTTAATTCTCCTTTAATGTTCATGGCTACTGTTTAATTATCTGTTAAATTATGCTTGAGAGAGAGAGAGAGAGAGTTACGTCACTGTTTTGATTAATGTGTGAATTGCGTCATCAACTTCTTCTTTTCTTTGTATGTTTGCTTACTTGTTGACTTGTTCTATGAGTTCTTTTGATTTTGGATTCTGGGGTTTTACTGTTTACACTATGCAATTTTTGCTTTCTCAAACTACTTTCAGAAGTTATTTTTCTTCATTAGATTATTCAGTTATGTTGTGTTCTTTGGTCATGAAAAGATTCATCAAGTGCCCACCATTTTTTTTGTGCAAAAAGTGATTTTGCTTTTTGTTCTTCATAATTTCCAAATGAATTGCTCTCTCTGTCAAAATTTGATGCCCTGTTTTTTTTTGTGTTGCTCAATCTACTGTTTTTGGCTCCACAAGTCTCTTGATTTTCTAGTGTATCTTCTCAGTTCAACAAATGAAGGAAAGTTAGTTCTGTTGTTATTTTAGTTTTCTGTAACAGCCATGCCAAAAAGGATGAAGCATATGGAGAAAGTTAATGGTGCTTCTGGAGAAGATCCAGAATATGGTGCCATTTTCATGTCCAATAACTCAACCAGGAAGGAATGCCTTAGCCGAGGGCTTTTCGGTTTGCCGATTGGGCTTGCCGGATTTGTTAAACAGGTCAAAGCTGGAATGATGCTCTTTTTGTTTGAATTCGAGAAGAGAGAGCTACATGGTGTGTTTCAGGCTTGCTCTGATGGTGCAATAAACATCGAGCCCAATGCATTCCAATCTTCTGGGAAACAGTTTCCTGCTCAGGTACTTGCATTCACTTTTCCTCCTTGAGTTTTTGTTTTTACTAAGTTTGTGTCTTTAACATTTTTACTTGCCTTTTTCTTAGGTCAAGTTTACTGAGAAGTGGCGTTGTAGGCCACTTTGTGAAAGTGAGTTTGGTAATGCTATCCATGAAAATTACTTCACATCAAAAAAGTTCAAATTTGGACTCTCCAAGGCTCAGGTGTGTGCTTAATTTTCTTAGTTTAATTTACAGTACGTCTCCAATCGTTCTTGTTTGGTCTAATATTATGCGGGTTGATTTACTTTCTTATGTAGTCTGACACTTTCCGTTTGAATATGTTATGTATAGGTTCAAAGGCTATTGAAGTTGTTTTGCTTGAAGAAGGTAGAGAGATCACGACTGATAGAAACTGCAGCTCCGAAACCATTTAAAAAATCTGAAAATATAGTTGGTGATCGTGGTTTTGGGAATCGCGATGCAGAAGAAACGGATGGAGATGTTGACCGTGAGTTTCCCATCAGAGTTACATCTGCAGGAGATCATCGTGGTCGTAGGTTAATAGAGAATTATGGTTGTGGGGGGGAATCTAAATGGACTAGTGGCCTAGAGTATGATCCAACTAAAGGGAATGAGTACTCCAGACTCGTTGATTCCAAACTCCATGGGTTGAAGGATAGATTAGGATGTGAGGTTAGCATGAATAATAATAGCTTTGGCACTGATGCTTTAACTAAGAATTCGTATAATTCTCTTGTTAACGATCGAAGAGTCCCGAAGAGCTTGAGACACACTGCAAATGGCTGGTTAGAAAATGATTACCATGAAAAAGATGGTATCGCACAGGCAAGTTCGTGGTCTAACAACAAGGAACGCCTTAATTTTGAGGCAGATCCAATGGTTCCCACTCAAAGCTCAGTATCTCCAGACTTACCATATGGCACAAACACAGGATCCTATGACCCTTATCAGCCCAGCATCATGGGAGATACAACAATGACAAGCTCTAGGTATGGTTTTGGTGCACCTAATGTTGATTTAACTGGCTCAGCTTCCTATACAGCCAACTCAAATCATGGTTTGGGAGAAGATATTATACCTGTTGGTGATTATGTCAGTGACGCCTTTCCCTCTAAGACAGTCCAACCATTCCCTGATGAGCATAATGCTACACGCATGAACACTAGTAGTCTGGACTCGGGTTTCTATATTCCAATGCCTATTGAACATCATAAATACCAAATAAACACTGGCATGTTTGGAGTTGCTCGTGGTGAATCTGAATCTGAATCTGATTCCAGAAATGGTCATTTGCGTCATTCTCAGTTTCCTGGTCTCTTAACTTCTGCAGGGGACACTGAGAACATGAGGCAGTTTGAAAGGCCGCTGTACTCAGACCGCAACATCTTCCCTTCATTTGTTTATCCTTCATCATCAAGGGGTTTGTCTCCTAAGGACAGACTCAACAATGAACTTCAAACATATCAACACCAAGAAGAATCTAGAGGTCATGATTCTTATACAAACGATATGGTGGTTTGGGGTTCCAGTATTTACCCTTCTTTTACTAATCCTTCAACATCAGGGGATGAAGCTGATTTGTATCTAGAGAACAGAGCCAATAACGAAGTTCAAGCTTATCAACGGCAGAAAGAATTTGGCGATGATGCTTTTGACTCTAACAATAGGGTGACTGAAATGAAGAATCGTATTAAACCTGCTGAACTTGAAGGAAACAAAACCAGAGAGAGTGTCTTCAATAGGCTGGGTGGGCGTTCAAAAGAACGTGTTGCTGAAAAGGATATGTCTCCGGACACTGAATCAGTGGACGAGGTCATGGCCTTTTTAAACGACCGTCACAAAGATTGGATGGAGCAAAAAAGAGCAAATATGAGTAATTCTGAGGATTTTGGAAAACCGAAGAAGAAAAAGGAAAAGATTCATACAGCAGAGGTCAAAAGAGAAAATGATATGATGCTTCCTTTTACTGAGACTACTCCAGATAATCTGTTGGATTGTGAAGGAAGTATGGAACATACTGTTCAAAAGCTACCATTCATTGATTTTAAGCGCCGTAGCAAAGCTCGAAGGAGCAGCCTTGGTAATCCAACTCAAGGGTGTAAAGATAGCCCCGAACATTCAGCTTCTCAGAGCAAGAAAAGGAAGCTGCTGAGACCAAAACTCGTTGAAGATGACTCGGAAAAGGATAGAGGACACAAAGCCGGTCCTATTAAAATTGTCTTGGCCTCGGCAAAAGATAGAGGAAACAATGATCCGATTGTAAAATTCTTGGCCTCAAAGTCAGCTACTGAAGTCCCAGTCCATGGCTTCCTTGGACGAAATGAAGGTGACTCGCAAAAGGATAGAGGTGAGAATGATAATCCTATTGAAAATGTCTTGGCCTCACAGTCAGCTACTGAAGTCCCCGTCCATGACTTCCTTGGACGTGATGAAGGTGACTCGCAAAAGGAGAGAGGTAAGAATGATAATCCTATTGAAAATTTATTGGCCTCACAGTCAGCTACTGAAGTCCACGTCCATGACTTCTTTGGACGTGATGAAGATGACTTGGAAAAGGATAGAGGAAAAAATGACGATCCTGTTGAAAATTTCTTGGCCTCAGAGTTTGCTTCTGAAGTCCCCTTCCATGACTTCCTTGGATGTGATGATCGATAAACACTCAAATGGAGTTGGAAACTCTTATGGACAGAACAATGCCTCTTCAAGGATGCTTCTGCAATAGAAGGTGAGGGTGTTCTCTAGTTGTTGTGTCTTTTTGGTCGAGTAAGTGTCTTCTTAATCATGTTGACTATTTTACTATCATAGAACAATGCCTACATGCTTTGGCAGAACAGCCGTTTTGAGGTAGTTGTGAAATTTTATGCTGATGTCAAAGCATGCGTTTGGTTCAGAAACTTTGTCAAGTGAATCTTGATAGCTAATAATACCTAGATTTTGTAGTCTTAAACTGACAAATGCAAAGAGTCGAGTCGACTAGGTAAGGAAAAGATAAACCATATACAGGTTTGTTTCCTCAAGCTTCAAGCTCAAGGGTTTGGTGAAAGTGGTAACAAACATGATTGTCTCTAATTCATAGCGTTTGGTCCAAAGCATCTGTTCCTATTAAGATCCCAAACCCATTGAATCAGATACTTTCTTCCTTTAACGCCCTTCACATTATACACAGTCCTCCACCTATCCTTAAACACACTTCCCATATACCCTCCTCCTCCTCCTGATCCATACACTCCCAAACATAAATCCGCTATCTCTGTGGGTGCCGTCGCATCCTCTCCTCCATACCATCCGTTCAACATTGGGTTACTGGACACTTCCGCCAGCTCATGAGCTATCACGCTGATCATCCCATCAATTCCCACCTCTCCGTTTGGCGGTTTCATCTTCTCTCTGGCTACAAACCCGCTTCCCGGAAATGGCTTAGGTTGTGCAAATGGGTACGCGCATATCTCTGGACACTGTTTCCTACTGTTCCCGACCCAAACGTATGGTACGGTTGCACCAACAACGCTTGGGAAAGTGAAGTAATGAAACCCGCAAATCGCTCTGCAGAACTCTTGCATCTCTACATCATCCGAGGTCAAGACTAAGTACAAGCCGTTTACAGCGTTTAGTGGTAACTTGGAAGTCAAGGCAGTTCTGATCACAGACTGAACAGAGAAGCGAGTTAGGTGAGATCCATGAGAGTACGTAGAGTCGTGGAACTCTTCGGACAAGACAAGAGTGTCGGTGATGTTGGAACCTGTCTGGTCTCTGTATAGCCTCACTGTCTTCCACCAGTTGGATACTGACGGGTACTGAGCCGGTGTCGGTGAAGAGATAGAGTAGAGAAAGTCTCGGATTATAGATTGGTGAGTTGGGTTCCATCGGCCGTACCAAATGATATAAAGACTCGTCACCGGCGAGGATATGACCGGACCCATGTGGTATTGAAGGTCGACGAGATCGGAGGAGCCTTCGTAGTTCTTGCTCTCGTCGAAGAACTGTCCATTAGATGTGAGAGAGAGTGAGAGGGAAAAGAAGAAGATGATGAGAGGAATCATCTCGTTGGTTTTATGATTTACTTAGTGTGAACGTTGGAGATCTTATTATAGGAAGTGGAGTTTTTAACTTTTTTTATTACTAGTTCTTTTTTTGGTAAAGTAAATTTCATTTGGTAATCTTTCTATTTTAAGTTTTAACTACCCACCAAAAACAAAGTTTTAACCAACTGAAAATTGTGAAGTCAATCCATAAAACTGTACAATTTGCATCAAAATGACATAAAGAAATGTATATAGATTAAAAGGTTGAAGAGATTAGTATAGAAATGCAATATTTTTATTTATTTCGTAAGGTAGTTTTGATTTATACATGTAATTATATGTTTTCACAGAAGATGTCGGTTAAGTACAACTTTTGAGCTTGATTGGTGGCACTGTTAGAGGCCACTTGACCAAAAAGCATGTTTACCTCTAATGATTTCTTGTCAAAATATATTCGTGAAAGCTAATGAAAAGTAGTAAAAGTGTAAAACCATAATTGCATAAAATTTTATAAGACCCATTTTCGAAAAGTTAGAGAAGTTTCTCATGTTAACCTAGAACACTGAGTTTAAGCATTGACATGATGATATTATATAGTAAAATTAGTACAGTTGGGAAATCCATCTGATAAGTTAAAATTTTCACAAATCTAAGATACTACCATCTTTTCTTTTTGTCTGTAATTTTTACCATCTACTACTAATATACTACCAACTACTTTTTGTCGGCAGTCACCTTTTCTTAGTGCTAGTGGAAAGTTGTCACACATTGAGCTGCTTCTATTAAGGTTTGGTTCTTTAGTTTTTGAAAAGACAAACTTTCTCCCTATGGATTGATTCACTCCTTTTGCTTTGAACTTTGATTCGTGAGTCAAAAACGCTAAACCATTCCCTGTTTACATTTGGGTATTAGTGATTACCTTTAAATTTCATAAAACTTAAAGCTTATACAATTTTGCTACAGAACTTGGTCCTGATAGGTCTTTCGTCCCCAAAGAATAATAATACTATGCACAATTACGACATAAAAGTTTGGGGATTTACTCAAATCGCCATCAAACCAAACTAAACCGGAAACTGGTAAAAGAGATCAATTTCCTGGTTCAGCTAAAAAAACTTTGGCTTCTTTAGTTTGGGCTCACCTAGATGCAACGATACGTTAACCTCTTCTTCGGAACTGTTCTTTAAAGCCATGAGATTATCCAATTTGGGTTTCTCTTGCCCTTTAATGGCGGAAGTAGACTCGTTAACCGATATAGGAGCAATGAAGATATGTTCCTCTACTTCAGGTGTTGGTTTGATTGCTTCTTCTATACGAAACTCATGCGGAATAAATGGCTCAAAGCTCTCATCTTGTTTCTCTCCTGATGGAACCGGGTCGGGCGGGGATGACTGGCTAACCGTTGAATCGAGGGCTGTAACTGAAGTGTTTCTCTCTTCTCGTGCTGCTGCTGCAAGTTTACAAAGTCAAAAGAACATGGCATTAAGACTTGGGAACCATTTTAATAAAAGCTAGGAGAATAGTTGTAAACCTTCAAGCTCATGGTTCGATGTGATGAGATCAAGCTCCAAGAGATCCAAAAGGCGACCAAGATCAACTCCACTTGTCCAGTTCTCGGGTTCTTGACCGGCTATGAGTTTAAGTTTTCCTCGGTTGGCTGTCCCTCCCCAAATGATTCCAACTGGTCTTGGCTTCTGACCATTTGGACCAGTTAAGAGTATTAGGCTTCCACTGTCACCTTCAAGGTCAAAAGTTTGCTGGTTTTCGCCAATGACCAGAAAATCTGTGAGGAAACAGATCCCTTTCTCGTCGTTGTATTCCAAAGCATAAGCCATTATGGTTCCGGTGGTATATCCAGAGCTTCTTCCAACTTTGACAACTTGTTTCCCAATAAGACTATCAATTGGGGATTGCAAGTCTATAACGTGCACATTTCCTATCTCACCAATGCCCTTTATCATGGTAGTTACATTGCTCGTGTTGAAATCTTCTGCAAAAGGAATAAAGGCACCATCTGCTCTCACAAATGTTTCTGCATTGGGACAGATATGAAAGGTGACATGCATAGTCATTAGTCAGTATGAAACAAGAGTGTCCATATATGCCAGTTCCTGAACAGAAAGATGCTGAGATTTGAAATAACTGGAGTACCTGGATTTGTGCCAGCAAATATGCCGTACCACTGATCATCTGTGATAAACGATGTTGCTCTCTCAACTGCACCGAGGTAGACCCCCGGTCCAAGGCTTGGAGGTAAAGGATGAAACATTTTCTGGCTTGGATAATCCAAATCAACTGCGACATGCCGATTGGTAAGAAAACCAACCTGATGGTTACCTGTTCTGCTTTTCACTATGGCTCCCAAGGTTCCATACGTTTCTTGGCTTGCAACCTACACAACATGAAACAAAACTGAGACTTTACGCTTATGGTTTGCAGAATATGGAAAAAAAAAGTATGCACCTGAGAACCAGAGCCAATGCAGGGATCACTTCCTCTCAAACCATCTACAAGTTCATTATAAACTTGTTCATTTGGTGTTGCAGCAGGAGCCCCGTAATATTGAAATTCCACAACATCTACATCGCACCATACCCCTCCAGGACCCTATTATGAAATGAACAAATCGCTTATCATATAAGCTCCGATAAAATTCCTGAAAGGCTGTGTGTAGAATGGAATGGAATACAAGATAACTAAACCTCAAGGGCAGAAGGAAGGCACTGCATTGGATTTAGCCATTGCCTATGGACTTTCCTAGCAACAAAGACAAGTATTGCTGGAACATTCGTTAGAACACCACGGCTGATCCGAAACCCAACCGCAGTACCAAGGCTGAAGCGGCGCAGGATTTTACTATGAAACGCTCTGATGGTCATGAGCTCAAGCAAAGTAGTGGCTTGTTGTCCTGATGGCAACCTGCCAACAGTTTCTGGTAAAACCCCTTTCTGGAGATTGCCAAAGTAGTTAGCTCGGTCTTCAACAGCATCGTTAAGCCTGCTGAGAGTAGGCCACGAGAAGTAAGGGGCATTGCTCTCTGCATGTTGGATGTTGAATGTGAATGGCTGAAGAGGAGATGGAGTTGAAGATGATGGAAGACTCAAGTGATTGCAGTGATGATTTCTCTCCAAATCCAAAGCAGAATCCTCCGATTCAGAAGAAGCTGCTGCTTGGATGAATCTTTGACCCCAAGCTCCCAAAGTCATCTCCTTTTACAATGCTACTTATTAAAGATAACACCACCGAACCTTTTCAGCTCTGCCACAACGCAAAACAGGAGATGCAACAGAATTCAGCTTCCTAAATTACAACACTTGAACTCATGATATAAACTTAAAAATGGCAACTTTATGCAGATTACAAGCAATCAAACAAACAATAAGAGAAAGATCATCCCAGACTTCGTTTATGAACCCTAGAAGTCGAGAAAACCAATAGAATTACCTTAGAAATTTTCAAATTACAATCGGAAAAAACAACATAACACGCAACGCCTCAAAAGGAACTATAAGAAGACGAAAACCTAAACGAACCCAGAATCTAACATCATGTAAGAATCCTAAAGAAATCAACGTTGACATAATCCGGCGAAGATTCTCGAAGGCGCGAAACTCACCGACAGGACAATTCGTCGGAGTAGCTGCGATAACCTCATTGAGCTAAGACGGAGAATTAGCAGGGGTGAAAGAGAAGTAGCTGCATTTAGAGAGCAGGAGAAAACGAGAAAGTGAGGATTACAGAGAAAAATGGAGGAAGAAGAAGACCTGAGAGAGAGCAATAGCAGCTGCATAATAATAATATGTAGTTACTGTTGATGGTGGTTGTGAATACAGTACAGCGAGAATTATCTTCCTTTTTTTTGTTTTGTCAACCAATACAAATCTCTTTTCTTTTTTTATTGATTATATACAAATCTCTTTATAAT